AACCCACAGCTGGGGAGATGGGGCACCCCAGAGACCATGGTGCAGGGGCTGGTGGCTCAGCAGATCATGTGTGATCCGGACACCCTGGTGCTCCATTATGAGCGGCCGGTGGCTCAGCTAAAGTGGGGGCTCTCTGCACAGGGCCCTGCCCTTGGGAACCTGCCTCCTCTTAATTGTTTCCCCCGTCACAAAATTCCTATTCTCCAGCTGCAAACCCCTCCCTCCATTTTAGGCGCTTCCAGGGAAGATCAGTCCCCATCTAGTTCAGAGTCCCAGCTTTGTCCATGGCCAGTACATCAGAGGCAGGGGCAAGAAGCCCTGTCACAGGTTGCTGCGGATATAACCAACCTCTAGAGGACTTATGCTTTTCCTCTCCTGCCCTGTGTCTCCCTGGCTGGCCTTGCTCTGCATCTGGATCTCTGTTCTCCCCTCTGCCGAAGGCTCTGACTCTGTGTAAATATTTTGAGGAGCAGAAACTCAGCTTCTGGGGCAAGACGGTGATTGAGCTGGGCGCCGGGACGGGCATCGTGGGTATCCTTGCCACCCTGCTGGGTATGTAAGTTGCTGGCCCGTGGAGCTGACACATTGTGTGGAGGAGAGGGATGCGAGGGAGGGGGGTGATGGCAGAGCGATGCATCTGGTCTGTGGCATTTCTCAACTCCCGATCAAGAGAAGCCTATCAAGGTTTTGTAGCTGACCTGCTGGCAATGGCTCACAGGCGTGCCCAGTTTGGGTCATCTAAAGACCGCATCAGCAACTTAGTGGAAGCCCAAGGGCAGTGTCTGCTTTTACATTGCCCCCTATTTAGTACAGGTTAAACCTCTAAAATACAGGACTCTGGCCCACCAACATCCGTGGTCCAGCAGGACCACAAATAGTGCTGGATTTTTTGCACACACACAAAAAAAGCAAGCATGATTCTGGGATGCATTAACAGGAGTGTTGTGAGCAAGGCATGAGAAGTCATTCTTCCGCTCTACTCTGCACTGATTAGGCCTCAGTTGGAGTATTGCATCCAGTTCTGGGTGCCACATTTCAAGAAAGATGCA